AGTGATGCAGGCTTCTGAACGGAGCGTTGATAACAACTTGGGCTATCCTTGTCCTCTCTGGTCCGGATGACATGGCGTCCCAGTGTTCCATAAAGAACTTCAAATCGTGACTCATCTGACCACAGAACAGTCTTCCATTTTGCCACACTCCATTTTAAATGACCCCTGGCCCAGTGCAAACGTCTGAGCTTGTGGAGCTTGCTTAGAAATGGCTTCCTCTTTGCACTGTAGAGTTTCAGCTGGCAACGGCGGATGGCACGGTGGATTGTGTTCACTGATGATGCTTTCTGGAAGTATTCCTGAGCCCATTCTGTTATTTCCTTGACAGTGGCATTCCTGTTTGAGGTGCTGTGACGTTTAAGGGCCTGGAGATCACGAGCATCCAGTAGAGTTTTACGGCCTTGACCCTTACGCACAGCGATTGTTCCAGATTCTCTGAATCTTTTGACGATGTTATGCACGGTTGATGATGATAACTTAAACGTCTTTGCTATTTAGGGGATATATTTATATTTATTTATATTTATTATTAGGGGAGTGGTGGCGCAGAGGTTAGAGAGGTGGGCTTGTGATCTGAAGATCGCCGGTTCACGGCCCGGCCCCGACAACATCAAAATTGTGGGTGGGGTAGGTGAAACACCCACACTTGCCCCCACCCTCATTCGCCCCACTCTGGGCCCATGAGCAAGGCCCTTAACCCCACCATGTGCTCCCTAAACAGGTCTCTCTTGAAAATGAGTTCTCGTGGCTCAATGAGACTACCTGTATAAATAAAGGCTAAATAAAAAAATATATATATATTTTATGCTGGGTAACACCATTCTGGTATGGCTGCACTATCTTTCTGCGCAACAATGGTGGAATTGGTGATCCTCTTACCATCTTGGCTTCTGAGAGACACTGACACTCAGAGAAGCTCTTTTTAGACCCAATCATGGTGTCAATTGACCTAATTAGTGTTAATCGGTCTTCCAGCTGTTTGTTATATGCTCAATTTCCTTTTTCCAGCCACTTATTGCTACTTGTCCCAACTTTTTTGGGATTTGTTGACACTGTGAAATTTTGAATCAATATATATTTTCCTTTAAAATGTTACATTTACTCAGATTAAACTTTTGATCTGTCATCTATGTTATATTACGAATAAAATATTGACATTTGCCATCTCCACATCTTTGCATTCAGTTTTTATTCACAATTTGTTTAGTGTCCCAACTTTTTTGGAATCCGGTTTGTAAAACCACTGCACTCAGGCTTTATATGGTGATCCTGCACTCTCTTAACCTTTTGTCAGAGCAATAGGCAAATGTTTAGTTCTGTGAAAAAGATAACAAATAGAATCTTACCTGTTGTGGATAAGTCTGAACAGCCTCAGGCTGGATACATACAGTTGAAGACAGACACACTGGAGCTGTTTGTAGGCAGCAAAATCTGGTTTGAAATTTGGCTGATAACCGCGGAGCCCCCATTATTAGTTTATTTGTCGTGACTTTAGGAGACTTAACTGAAAGTTTCTGCGAGGCTGAGGCGCCTGTCTTCTGAATGATAATAAAAAGATTCACCATAGTCTCTAACTTTTAATAAAGCAACACATTGCTAACACTCAAACCTATAAATGATAACTGGTGTGGTATAGTATTTAACAAAAAGTGTGGTGACCCCCCTTCTCAGACACGTCACTAGAACAAGTGTTTTCAGTAAATCATTGCTTCACCTGACTGGCATGTCCGAACTCCAGAAAACAAAGAATATATGACAAACATTCAAACTGTTCTTAAACAATTTTAACAAATGTTCGGCTACTACAATGATGTTCCTGCAGGAAATGCACAGAGGGCTACAGCTATGTGCTTCTGCCATCTGTGTAAAGAAGCATGCAAAGTAAAATAGACAGCAGTGGAAAGGTTTCTAAAATCTAAATCTAAAATTATTTAGGATGTAAATAGTTTTGGTCTTTGTATCCATAGCTCATCATATTTAGAATACTTCTCAAAAATTAGCTCCTTCAAAAAGCTATCTGCAACATGTAGGATACTAACTGCTCAAAGAGTACAAAACCCCACTTTTTAAAGAATCTAAACTATCCTTTTTTAGATTTATTTGACATGTGCAGTTTGTCAGGTGTGATATTTTCTGTCAGCAAAACATTGTGATGCTCAAGGCAAAAAAGCTTACACGTTTTAATTAAAAAACTAAACGTGCGTTCTCATTTTGTTTGTAGGGAATCCTAGCGGGCTGCAACTCCATGTGCGCCGGCTACCTGTTTCAACCGGATAAGCAGTACGACATCACGTACGACACCGGCGACAAGGCCATCCAGTGCGGCCGGCACGTCGACATCTTCAAGTTCTGGCTCATGTGGAAGGCCAAGGTGAGAAACGTGATCCAGCCAACAGGAACAGACATGGCACAGGTGGGAGCTGCGCTGAGGTAACCCTCACCTGTATGTCTCTACCTGTAGGGCACCGTGGGCTTTGAGCAGCACATCAACAAGTGTTTGGACCTGTCCCAGTACCTCTATAACAAGATCAGGAACAGGGAGGGGTACCAGATGGTGTTTGATGGTGTGGTGAGCATCTCTTAACTTTTTCTTACAGCTGCTTTCAGGGAACCTGTTTATTACTTACTTCCGGTAAGATGGCGCTCATGTACATGGCTTGCATTCCACCTCTGTTGATGGTGTTCGGATTATTTTGTTTTGTTTGTTTTTTATCTGTGATATAAACTCACTACTGATGTATGACCGACAACAGCTTCTGGATCTTCGTTTTTCTGTCACCGATGTCGCTTATTTGGAACAATATGAGCGTACCTCTGGACCCCCCCCCCCCTCCTCCCCCTTTGCTGGCGGACGTGCCAGCTTACTTCCGCTGCGCTCCTCATCTCCCTGCCCGGAGACTTCGCTTCAGACACCGGGAAAACGTGCTGGGCGGCTTGTAAAGCTTAAAGCCATGCACGCTGCATTTTCCTCTTCAGCTGGTGGTCATGGTTTCCATCGCCAGCTTCCCGCGTGCCCGGACCAGGTAAACAACGGAAGTTGTCGGCCGGTGCGCAGTTCGGACCGACCCGGAGGGGCTGTTATTGAAAACCTGAGGCCACTGATGCCTGCGAACTTCACCGCTGCTGGCTCCACTTTGAACAGTATCCGGATGTGTTTGGTCAACGCAAGATCTGTTACCAACAAAACTTTTATCCTCAGGGACTACTTTCAAGAGTACGAGTTGGACTTTTTCTGCATCACAGAGACTTTGATGTCTCCGGGTGAGTCCAGCGCCTTGACGGAATTATTGCCACCAAACTGTCTGTATATTAACGCACCGCGGCCATCAGGCCGGCGCGGTGGTGGATTATTAATAATATTCAAACCAACTTTTGACTGTTAACAAACTGCCCATCCCAGTTTCCCGTGCCAGCTTTGAGCTGAGCATCTTTGAACTCGGCCATTCGCCTCCGACGTTTTTTGCACTCGTCTACCGCCCACCTCGGTCTAAAGATTTCATAAATGATTTTTCTGACTTCTTGGCTGAAATCACACCAAAATATGATCATGTTTTCATTATTGGGGACCTTAATTTGGACGTGTGCTGTCAGGAGAAGCCCTTGGTTAAGGACTGTTTTGATTTATTGGACTCATTTAATCTAACTCGGCATGTAAACGGTCCCACCCAAGAGCGCGGACATACACTGGACCTTGTTTTAACTCGTGATGTGACTGTTAGTAATCTTGTTATTGGTGATAATGTTTTTTCAGACCACATGCCGGTCCAGTTTGAGTTCACCCTCCCCCATCTAAATCGTGTGTTTCTGCACGTAGTAGCTGGACCATTAACCATTTCACTGCCGCACGTTTCACAGATGTTTATAACTCTGAAATGATAACTCAGCCCCCAGTGTTTCTCACCACTACTGAGGAGCTGACGTCCCAGTTCAACTCTGTCTGCTTAAAGACTCTGGATCATGTTGCACCTGTTAAAACCAAAAAATCAAAACTCAGAGCAGAACCTTGGCTGAGTGACGTCACCAAGGCCGTTAGGCAGCAATGTAGGAGGGCGGAGCGCAAGTGGAGGAAAGACAGGCTGCAGGTCTCTATTCAAATACTTAAAGAGAGTTGGCGCCGTTATCAGAAAGCAGTAAAAGCTGCTAAATCCAAATACTTCTCTGATATAATTTCCTCAAACTCTTGCAACCCACGTGTCCTCTTCTCCACCCTAAACGCTGTTCTCCACCTCACTGAACCATCACCTCTGGAAGCCTCGACTGAGCTGTGCAAGAACTTCTTACATTTCTTTTTGGAAAAAACTGCGACCACCCGGGCTTTCATTTCCCCGCCAACTCATGACCCATCCATCCCACCTCAATTTGTATCTCTGTTTGACCATTATGAACCCATCACTCTCTTCTCTAGAGCAGGTCATGTGCAGCTTGAAACCGTCTGGTTCCCCCTTTGATGTAGTCCCCCCTCGACTACTAAAGGAGGTTTTTCCTACTCTAGGTCCGTCCATTCTTACCATAGTAAACAGTAGTTTATCCACTGGCGTGGTGCCAAAATCCTTTAAACATGCTGCTGTCCAGCATCTTCTGAAAAAAAAAACCTTGACCCCTCTGTCGTATCCAACTTCCGGTCTGTCTCCAGACTCCCATTTGTTTCTAAACTACTGGAGAAAATAGCCGAGTCCCAGTTGAAGTGCTTCCTGGAGGATTACGCCATCTTAGAGCTATTCCAATCTGGCTTTAAACCTCTCCATAGCACTGAAACTGCCCTGCTGAAGGTCTTTAATGACTGTAGTGAAATGTGGGGGACAGCTTAACTGTCGCTTCACTACTAATTAATTATTCTTAACGCTAGTTCAAGCACGAAGAATATTAATTGTTAAAATAAAACTGATTTTTTCTTTTTCGAGTTAAATTAATGCCATGTGACGAGATAACTGTGAGGATTGTTTAATCAGTGACATGAGACACTATTTTTCTTTGACCCATCAGAATAAATGCGGTCATTTATTTAACAGAATCAAAATTTAACATCAAAACATGTACACATTGATTTCTTGATCTGGTTCTGATTAATAAAAACTTGGCACGCTTTACTAACAAGACAACAGAACATTTCTGAAGGCATCTAGATTGATTTGCTGGCGAAAAGATTTACAAGAGGAGAGATTTAGAGGTTTAAGAGGAGATGGATGAAGGAAAGATGTATGTTTGTTGACCAGAATTAGCACGCTTCTTCCAACACCAGCTCAACCCTCCGGTACACTTATTGCACGACACTCGTGACGTCTCTTTACCTTTGCAGATGAGGATCAGCTCCGGTATAGATGTCCCTATTTCAACGCTACCTTTCCAGCATCTCCGGTTAAAGCGGCTGGTCATTGTCAGAAGTCGTGGCGATTTACTCCGTTCAACAAGCAAGCTTCCTTCGAAGTTGTAGGCGTTACGCCCAGGTGAATTCACAGTGAGGCGCTGTGTCTCCGCTGAGATGGACGGACCCTCGTCTCACGGTCAAATCCATCAGATACTGATTAAATCTGAAAGTTCCTTAGGAACTCTCAGGAAGACTCCATAGTCAGAGACTCCACTCAGAAGTGGAAGACTTCAGAAGACTTGAGAAGACTCCAGGAAGACTCCGGTCAAAGAAGAGTCGAGAAGACTGACTAGTTCCAGGAAGTGTTGACTTTTAAAGAGTCCTCACTTCCGGTCACTTAGTACTTCCTGATTGGTTGAAACAACCAACAGGGGGGTGTTTCAGTGATGTCAGAGGGTTATTAAAAGTCAAGAGAGGCTGCAGGAATGTTTAGGAACAATTGGTACAGACAGAGAAATGTTATGGCGAAGTGAGACAAACGCAGATGCCAATCGAAGTTATTTACCGTCTGCTAGGTTTAAAAACAAGACACTGTTCTAATAACTCGTTTTCTGACTGTCTCTGACTTTCGACCGACATCACTGACTTCTCATTCAGACAGAAGATCAAAATGTATAATTACTTTGTAAATAGACATTTAACTTGATTTCTAATTTAAATGAGGTTTAAAAATCATTAATACTGATTCACAGTTTATTTAAAATGAGTGGTTCACATCAACATTTAGAAATGGTATGAACTAAGCACACTTTGATTATCAAGATATTCTAAAATAGTAATGATAATGGAAAAATTGATTAATTCAGGATACAATTAAACAGTCTCTGGATGAGCTAATTTGTATTTCTGGATTCAAATCAATGAAATAACAGTTCCTGTCCCATGAAGGTCTTCAGAGACAGGTTGTGGTCGGAGGCCTAGTTCACTACAGTCCTCCCTTTAGAAATCATTGCCTGTCCATGAGGATGGATTCTAACATGAACTTACGCCTCTGAATGTCCTTGATCTTGATGTATTCCAGCAAGAGGAAAACAGAAGTCAAAGAACACAAAGTTTGTTTTCTCAGTCATCCAGGTATATAACAACAAAAAAGGTTGAATCATGTCATCTGGATTTCGTTTTTTTTTTTGTTAAAAAGAAACGTTTCGCCCCTCGTCCAAGAGGCTTCATCAGTCTGAGGCCAGAAGTCAAAGAAGGTAATCCCACAACGGTTTAGTTAATTCCACAATGTTGTTGGTAATTCCTTTATGTTGTTGGTTATTCCATTGTAGCAATGCTTTAACCCCTTGGAAACAAAGTCTGTAATCCATTGGAAAAAAGTCATATAATCCACAACGATAAATCCACAATGATTGGAGGTGTTGATTTATCAGCATGCAGAGGGGTTCCCTCGATTGAACTGCAGAGGCAACCACTGGATGGAGATTGGAGACCCACGTTGAAGTTGTAGGTCCCTTCAGCGAAGGTTGCTTCTGGTGGTTCCCAGTGGGTGCCATTCTGGTTCTATGTGTTATGCATTTATGTGGTTTTAGTTGGGCTTATGAGTCGGATTTTACGTAAGACCTTAACCTATATGCACCTGGTGTGTAAGCTATCATGGTGTAGATCGGCTACAGGTACCAGTTAAAGGGGGGTCATGCTGAAAAATTATATATAGGGATTTATACCTATAGAAGGGCATTCCAAACCATTTTTCCATTCCTAACTTGGTTTAAGTTAGATTTACATGGTAAAATATAGTTTGGTTCAATTGTCTGTTGTCCCTTTAGACGAACGACTTGAAGTTTGGTTTTTTGGATTCCCCCTAAATGTTTTGGAGTCTATGGCGAGACTCAACTGAAGGATTAGCTAGCCCCCTCCCCCTGAATAGGATTGTTCGAGTAGGTTCGGCTTGAGCGTCATGAGACCAATGTAGGTTATGGTACTTAAGGTAGCATTAATCTACATTGACTCCTCAAAGATTGAAGTTTAACAAATGAACTGCATTTTGGCATAGTTAAAGTCCTCTTAGTCTCTAAAGCCTGGTATCCACAGGTCTGGTTCTTGTTGTAGCCTGTTGTGTCCGGTTCTGGTGGGACCTCTATTTTTCCGTCTCCACATTGCCAATAGTTCCCGTTTAGTGGGCGGATTGTTCACCTCTAATGGGCGGATTATTAATATCAACGCACCTTACCAGCTGGTGGCGGTAGTGCTACATTAAGCTC